ACCTTTCACATTTTTTCCACAACTCTCATTTACAGCACATTCTCATCTACAGCACAATCACTATAATTTCACCTTTTCTCGGTTTCTTGCCTCCTGTCACTTCAAATTGACTAGTAACTCTCTTAAGCTACTTTATGATGTCAGCACAAAAAAGCCCTAAGATAATGAGCTGTTCCTATTGTGTTAAACTTCTTCGAAGTCCTGGTTTATCCATCAGTACCAGGGCAAAACTCTCCATTTTGCTTTGCAAATACACCTGATGCTAAGCAGATGCCATTCAAAGACAAGAAGGGCAACACTTGCATCCTCCTACACCCAATCTGGTTTTGCACATCATGATAAAGTTGCTAATGATGGTACTAACACAGTACAGAGTTTAACAGCTTTCAAAGGCCATTAGGATACTGTTAAGGCTAGTGGCATTACCATGGCAGCAATGGAATGGGAAGAGGATTTATGCCCTGGAATTTGTGCAGCAGATACCAAATGGAGTTGTCAAGAATTTGGCTACCCAATGACTCTACGTAAGTTCATTAAATCACCAAAGGTGGAAAGCTCAGCTTTCCGTACAGTCCCTTATCTGCCAACATGAAGCAAGACTGACTAGTCTCTGTTTAGCCATCATCAGAACCAGCTGTAAAGTCTAGCACGCCTTGCACTTGCTGGAGAACTGTGAACTGGGACATCACTTACTGTGGTTGTCTCAAGTAAAAAACATGCATATGATAATAGTTTATTGTATGCCTTAAAACAGAGCAAGGGGGACAAACCAAAGTAGGACTCATTTTTCTCACAGAAGTAACTTGCACTGCGCAGAACTGGAAGAAGTCCTAGCTAGACTGAGATGTGTGTACTGTGACGGCAGATGCAATTCGACTTGGCTAAGCTTCAGCAGATTGCAAAACAAAACTGGATGAGAACGTACCTAAGAGTGAAACTATAAAAATAGTGACGTGTCCAACAATGGCTCGCTTTCCTAGACAGCTTCATAACAGGCCTCCATAGAGGAAAAAGTGTATTTCAAAGGCCCTTCTGGAAAAGCATGGTTTCTACTGTCTTGTTTGTTGAATACAAAAATTACCAAATCTAGTGTGAGAGTATTACATAAAAAGTATCTGATGGATTTTCAAACTGCCTCTAGCTTAGCCATCCTAGAAATTATTACCCACAAAAGATCATACACATGTATACTCTTCACTCTCTCATTTAACCACAGTTCCGATGAAGGAGTCTAGTTCTGTGCCAGTCTATAGCTATTTATCACAGTTCACATCTATATTCTGCTTCCAGGGAACATAGACCCTCTGAAGCTTTGGAGCTCTCCCTGAAGGGAGAGTATCCTGTCATCCATTCAGTAAGTATTACCACTGAGATAAATAAAACTAAGCAACATAAATTCATAATTTACCAATAAAAAAGTAAATAAATAATAGCCAATGAAACTAAATAAAGAACTTATAGATCAGATAGTTACGCATAAAAACTAGAAGTACACTGCCCTCTAATACTGAATTTTATTGATATGATCTGTTTCGATATTAGAAATATATGTCTAAATAGCTTTGGTAGCATTTACAAGGTAAAAATGTGTTAGCTTTGCTGCCATGACAAAGTGACACAGACTTGAAAAACATCTTAGCATATAAATTCAAGAGAATATATATAAAAATTTGTATTAAAAGCAAACATTTTTTTTCAGTTGAAAGCTGGACTGCATGGTAATGTAAGATACTTTGTTTTCTATTTCAAACATGTAAGACAAGTTACATACAAAAAAGAAGCATTTAGGCAGAAATATCAATGTTATTTATTCCATCATAACTATGAAAAAACTTAAAATTATCTTCATTTTTATTCTTTAAAACTTACCTTTCACTATTACAGAATATGCTTATAATGATTTACTATTTAATTACCAGAAATCTAAGAAGTTTCTGATGAAGTGTTTTTTCTGACAGGCACTATTTACTGACAAACCAAGCAACCACAGATGAGTAAAAATAGAAACCAATGAAAAAAACTATACCAAGAATTCGATTGTCTAAACAAAAATTCCACAAGCAGGCAAGTTTTATAAATGCTTGATGCCAAACTGTGAGAAAGTGTTTCTTCTGTAGCCACCAGGAAAAAGGAAATGCCTACTGAAGGCTAAGAAGTGGTTGGTATTTATTTACATGGCCTCCTACCCACACGCTGAGACAGAGCTGTTTCCAAAAACGGGAAATCATAGGGTGCCTATGCTTGAAGCTAACAGAGACAGTATGTAACTTTTGGGAGATCAGACTTAAATACTGCTTAATTCCAGGAGAAAGGTATTACTGCAGCATTAAAGTGTGGCAGCAAAACCCACAGCAGCACTTTTTCAAACAAAGAGGAAAAAAAAAGTACATATAAATGGAGCATGAGCTAATTCAACAGCAGATGAGCCCGACATCATTTCAGCCTTAGCTCAATTAATATTATGTTATGGTAGGGTAAAAAAAGCTCCAGCCAGGACTATCTGTGCGCGTTTCCCATCCTGAGAGGCTGACAGCATAAGAAATAGGGAATGCATGAAGCCTGGGAGGAATGGGGCTAGGCACACTTCTACAAGTGACGACACGCACATAACTGTGGGTCCAGTTTGCTCCCCTCAGCATTTGTTCTTTTTTATTTATAGATTTTTATTTTTATAATGGGGCAGAGAACTTAAGCGTGACACGAGGGGAAAAACCAGCACATGCTGATCTCATGTAGAGACTTTGCTTCTCTTTTTCCTACACAGTGCAGAAGGAAAAAGTGGGAGGTAGTGTGGCCCATTCCTGTCTTTTTGACATAAAAAAAAAATTTTCCCATAATGCATCTTAGAAAAACAAACCAACCTGCTAGCCTGGGGAGGCCTTCCCACCCTTGAGACGATGTTTCACCACTCGTGGGCATAAGTAGCACTCACATCCTTAATGGACTAGTTCTGTTCTCTGACAGGCGAGTGAGCTGCCAGGAACTGACAGCATGATGTAAATATGCCATATTACAACTGCCCCTTCCTTCTGCTGTGTTTAAACGTACTAAAAATAAATACTGCTGAAGTCCAAAATGGCACAAGGGATGCAAAAAATTCAACAGCAGCTCCCCTTCCCCCAGCAACGTCCCAGCCAGCACTTCCAAGCTCATGAACTTCATTTTCAGCCAGGGGCAGAAATCATTCTCCACTTTTGGAACTTTGTAGGCTCTGTCAAAACAGCAGAAGAAGAAACCTTGGACACAACATTAGCTAACTGGATTACAAGGGGAACAGAATTCCTTTGCTTCCAAGAAAACAGATTGTTAAATTATCTTATTCCAGTTATCAAAGACGATCCTCATTTTTATTTGTCACTTCAAGATGGCTACTGTGCAACTGCAGCATGCAGGACAAACTCCTCATTTTGTATCCTGAGGAACAGAAGCAAAAATTCACGCAGGACAGTTTAAATATATGATGCTCAGCTGCTGCAAGGCAGGTCTGAGCCTGAGCATTGGCCTAACCCCACTTTCGGTTACGTCATGGGGAATTGAGCTTGTTGGCTCACCACTTTGTAGTGTTTTTTACAACACAAGCTTCCAACTGGGGCTTCATGGCACCAACCAAACCTTGTCTGTGCCGACTGTGGGGACCACAAGTCCAAAGAAATCAAGCTCCCAACTGGAAGTGCAGGTGACGCCGGGTAAGTTGGAACAAAGGCTGGTTTACAGCAGGATTCATCCGTCCATTCAGTACATCATTTGTACTGAAAGTACAACTCTCGAGTAACTGCTGCGCGCTGATAGCAAATACAGGTATCCGTGAAACGCCTCTGCTATTAGTAACAGGCATTAACAAGTATCAGCATTAATGGGGTAAACCAGCAAACTACTTTAAAACCATAAACTGAGGAAGGACAGCATTGAATTAAAGCTTGGGAACAGCAGATAAAAAGGTTGGCATTTCTGCCCCTGAACTAGATTTCCGGACTGGCACTGTACTACTCTCTGTATTTGTTTCCAGGTCAGTAACTCTGGCCTAATACTTCCCTGACTCACAGACGTTGTGCTAGACCTTGTTTTTCCGAGCTGCTGGGTTTGTGATGGCAAGGCATGATTAAGGTATTCTGCAATCAGAGTGCTAAAATGTGTAGGTGGAACACCAAAGCTGAGCAACTACTTGGCAAAGCAGTTAAGCAGCCGAGGAAAAAAATAATACCAAAAATAAGATGCTCTACAATACTATACTCTCTTAGATGGATCCCTACCCCCATTTTATAGACAGGAATAGACACAAGAAGCAGTGGCTTGTGAACCTGCTGAGCCACAGTGATCTATATTAAAGAAAAGAAAAAAGTAAGAAGTGTGAGGAAATGCTGGTGGTGGGCTGAAACTATGCCTGTTTACTCCTGTGAAGGAAAGGCTCAGACTTGTTTACACCTAGGAGCTGCTC